AAGCCTACGTCGGAATAGGCATCTAAAGTATATTGGATGGAGATTCATTGATTCGAGGATAAAGTAGAGGATCTAACAGTTGATATCTTTGTGGATAAGGAAAATGTAGCAGATTCATCCATTCGTGATGATTTTCCTCAGCAAACTTGCCAGTCTCCTAATGCCTCTACATCTCCTCGGGATCTATCTTCCTTTCATAGGCCACCTACTTCTACAGATGCTCATACATTTCATCCGAGACCAACTACATCATATCCGTCTCTTTAACCATCTAGAGATGAGTTCGCTTAGGATTTGAGAACGCAATTACTACAGATGGTAGAGATTTTAGAGAGAAAAAATGACAAGCGGATAGATGAGATGCGGTCTTACATAGACCAAAGGTTTGATTGTGTTACATCTTTGTGTAGACAAATTGATGAGAAGATATCATCTATTGTAGAGTGGATTAAGAATTCTAACCCGTCAAAAACACCTTACACATATCACTCTCCTCTTCGTAGTGGATTTATGAATACTGGAGAGGCATATGATGTAAATGAGGATCCACTTGTACATGTAGAAGTTCAAAATGATGAGAATGAAGATGTAAATGAAGAGAGACAAGTGGAAGATTATGTGTTAGCAAATGAAGCAGTTCTTGTTAAAGAAACAACATTACCCGCAGATGGCAATGAACAAAAACAAGCAGCTGATATGAATAACTGTCCAAATCCTATTGAAGTGGAAAATGAGCAAAGACAAGCAACAGATGTGCTGAATGATGATCAAACTCGTGTGGAAGAGAGAGATACCTGTGTACCGATGGATTTAATATCACATGGTGATGCAATGAAGTCTATCCCTAAAGTGGTGAAAGATGAGTTTGATAAGTCAAGTCAGAATGGGCGCGGGATGAGAATCAAGAAAAGGTCATTCATTCTTGAATCTCCATTCACAAATCCAGAGAAGAGGAGGAAGCTTTACAATGTAAATGCAGTTGACCCATTTTGAGAGCTAGATCAAGCTAAGGCAGATGACTTAGAGAATTGGTTGGTTAATGTACCTGACAGGTAACTAATCTTACATTAATTATTTTTGTGAAGTTGTAATATATGTTCTTATGTTATATGTTTTATGCCGTGAACATGCGGAAATGATGTTGGTCATGAAGCCAAAAAGTTTTTTTGTTGAAATTCAGAAGCAATTTGGATGGCTTGATAGTGATGTAAGTATTTTAGCATTCTATATTTTGCTCAGACTTCATTTCATTCTTAAACGGCTTTATACATTTGCAGCACATTGACATAGAATTGTTGTTGATGAGGACACGAATACATACATATCCTACTGTGTCCCACAAGATTGTGCAATTTTGGATTGTGCTTTTACTAACATGTGCACCAAGAGGTTTGAAGATTTTTAGTTGCATAAGAAACAAGAAAACCAGTAGAAGACTTTAAATGGCTGAAAAATATGACAAGCAAGCGACGGGATTCTTGTACATCGTTGTATATTCTCTGCAATGCAATGTGAAAATGAAGCACTGGATTGCACTTAAAGTGGACATTGCCGAACGAACTATATATGTATATGACAGTATGAAGAGTTTGACACGTTTTGGAAAATTGCAAAAAATCATGCGTACAATTTTGAAGGTGATTCCTAGAATGATGAAGGAAAGTTTGTTATTCGGGGAAAACTACTCATAGAAGTAGTTTCTATGGCACTGACATGAAGACGTTCCACAACAAAACAATGTGTAAATAATCTATCTTTAAAATTTTATAGATTTTCACTCATTTTGAGAGTGTATATATTTATTATGACAAATATACATTTGCAGGGGAGATTGCGGGAGATACGCTATCAAATTCATAGAACTTTTATCGGCCAGATTAGACATGAAACTTATGTCCGATGCTATGATTGAAAGTTGGAGGAAGAAATTAGCCGCTGAAGTTTTTGCTATGCATTTAGCTCCATAATTGTTGTTGTGGTATATTTTGCACGTTTATATGGTCAGAAGATATAGAACTCCGATGCTATTTTTGTCTATATGGTAGTTTTTAAATGATTTAGTTGGAAAACATGTGCATGGATGCTATTTTTGTCTAGTCAGTTTTGGATGTTCATCAGTCCTCCTATGAAACTTATGGATGTTGATTTTATCTACTTAGATCTGGATGTTGATCAGTTAGATTTGTCTAACTTCTTTAGATGTTGATTTTCTAGTCAGATTTGTGTAGAAGTTAGTTTTTTTGGATATTGATCAGTCTTTTTTACAAATTTTGTTATTTTCATTATACGGATATTTCATTCAAATATTGAAGCATACATGGTTGAAAGGAAGATGCTGTCTGTCATGACAACTTATCTATATGATGTTGAAAAATAGACTATTATATGAAAAACGGCAGTTCTGCATTTAAAACAACAGCATGCCGTTTAGGTCATACGACTAAAGTGTTCTCCTAAAGTGCACCGAAATGTGCTATGTTTTTGTGTACCCTAAATGGTAGTGATACTTGTAAAAGGAACGCATGTACTGAATGATTACACGTGATTTTTTGTATATCGTATACCTTAAATGGCACCCAGACGAGTAAAATGCTAATATGTCATTTTGGGTCAAGGAGTCTCGAATTTACTCCAAAACTAGAAAAATAATGTTGAAACATCTTAAAAACACTGTACGTTGAAAAATTGTAGAATAGGTTTAAACCCTATACCCTAAATCCAATACCCTAAACCTTAAACCCTAAACTGTAACCATACGTTTGAAATGCCTAGCTGCCGTATTGGGTCAGGAGGTAACGATTTCACTCCAGAACTAGCACAACGAAGTTCGGGACATGATACATGTTCGATATACGTTGAACGACTACACGTGCTTTGATTTGCATACCACACTTGCCCATTAGGTTGTTCTTCATTATCAAGTGAAGTGTAGTGTAGTCAATTCCCTCCAACCATAGAGAAACTCACTATAGTTTCAACAAATGTGTTGATCGTAACGTCGAAATGTAATTCAAACCTTCGTTCTTCAATTTTCAAGTGGTTACGGGCTTCATTACACCAAACAGACATGAAATGAGTGGAAACATCGTCCATACATTTGACACGCCCAACTGCAGTTTTGGGTAAGGAGGTACCGGTTTCACTCTGAAACTAGCACAACGATGTTCGGGACATGATACACGTCCGGTACACGTTGAACGACTACACGTGCAATGATTTGCATACCACACTTATCCTTTAGATTGTTCTTCATTGTCAAGTGAAGTGTAGTGTAGTCGATTCCCTCCAACCATAGAGAAACTCACTATAGTTTAGCCAAATGTGTCGATCATAACATCAAAATGTAATTCAAACATTCGTCCTTCAATCTTCAAGTGGTTACGAGCTTCATTGCACCAAACGAACACGAAATGAGTGGAAACGTCGTCCATACATTTGAAATGCCCAGTTGCTATTTTGGGTCAGGAAGTATTGGTTTCACTCCGAAATTAGCACAACGATGTTCGGGACATGATACATGTCCGATACATGTTGAATGACTACACATGCTATGATTTGCATACCACACTTGCCCATTAGGTTGTTCTTCATTGTCAAGTGAAGTGTAGTGTAGTCGGTTCCCTCAGACCATAGAGAAACTCACTATAGTTTGGACAAATGTGTCGATCGTAATGTCGAAATGTAATTCAAATCTTTGTCCTTCAATTTTCAAGTGGTTACAGGCTACATTGTACCAAATAGACACAAAATGAGTGGAAACATGCCCTATACATTTGAAACGCCTAGTTGCCGTTTTGGGTTAGGAGGTTTCGATTTCACTCCAAAACTAGCACAACGATGTTCGGGACATGATATGCGTCCAGTATACGTTGAACGGCTACACGTGCTATGATTTGCATACCATACTTGCCCTATAGGTTGTTCTTCATTGTCAAGTGAAGTGCAGTGTAGTCGATTTCCTCCGACCATAGAGAAACTCACTATAGTTTCGAAAAATGTGTCGATCGTAGCATCGAAATGTAATTCAAACCTTCGTCCTTCAATTTTCAAGTGGTTACGAGCTTCATTGCACCAAACGGACATGAAATGAGTGAAAACGTCGCCCATATGTTTAAAACGTCCAGTTACCATTTTGGGTCAGGAGGTACCGATTTCACTCCGAAACTAGCACAACGATGTTCGGGACATGATAAATGTCCGGTACACGTTGAACGATTACACGTGCTATGATTTGCATACCACACTTGTCCCGTAGGTTGTTCTTCATTGTCAAGGGAAGTGTAGTGTAGTCGATTCCCTCTGATCATAGAGAAACTCACTATAGTTTTGACAAATGTTTAAATCGTAACATCGAAATGTAATTCAAACCTTCGTCCTTCAATTTTCAAGTGGTTACGAGCTTCATTGCACCAAACGAATATGAAATGAGTCGAAATGTCGCCCATACGTTTGAAACGCCCAGGTGCCATTTTGGGTCAGGAGGTACCGATTTTACTCCGAAACTAGCACAACGATGTTTGGGACATGATAAACGTTCGGTACACATTGAATGACTACACGTGCTATGATTTTCATACCACACTTGCCCCTTAGGTTGTTCTTCATTATCAAGTGATGTGTAGTATAGTCGATTCCCTACGATCATAGACAAACTCACTATAGTGTCGACAAATGTGTCGATCGTAACGTTGAAATGTAATTCAAACCTTCGTCCTTCAATTGTCAAGTAGTTACGGGTTTCATTGCACCAAATGGACACGAAATGAGTGAAAACGTCGTCCATATGTTTGAAATGCCCCAACTACCGTTTTGGGCTAAACAAATAGTGTTGCTGTCATTTTTATCAGAAACTGACTTACAAATCTATTACAATTGATCAAAATATCATCACAATGTAAAGACTAAATTAATGATTAACATCCATCCATCTATAACAAACATAAATGAACATAAATGAACACGAAATGAGTAGACATAGCACCCATACATTTAAAACCATCTCAATCAGATTTGGTTCGAACAAGCTGTGCTGCTGTCTTTTTACCTGAAATTGAGGTACAAATCAATCAAGATTTATCCAAAAATATCACAATGTAAAGAATAAATTAACAATTAACATCCATCCATCCATAACAAACCTGAATGAACAAAAATGAACAAGAAATGAGTAGAAATAACACCCATACATTTAAAACGACCAAATGCCGTTTTGGTCTGAACAAACAGTGATGCTGTCATATTTATCAAAAATCTGTCTAAAGTAGCTATCATACTTTGTCAGACAACTATCACAATCTATCAAAAATCATCATAATCTATCACAATTTCAAGATTATGTTAAACAAAAAATGTTTCTATGCATCTGTCGATTAGTGTAGAGCATTTTTGCAAGTGAGACGATTATGGCCCCTCTGGCCACATCTACTACATTTATGAATCTTTTTCTCTCTCCTCTTGAAGGAATTCAATGATTTTTTCGACGTCTACTTTGTCGTCGATTCGAAAGAGGTGGTAACACCTTTGGTTGATTGGAGATTTCCCAATCAGCTTCATTTGCCACGGGATATATACATTCAGCATATGCTTGTTTCCAACTAGCACTAGTATAATAAGGTGAGCACAAACTGTAACAAGATATTCCCTTAAATTTCATTGCTGGAAGTGCATGTTTGCAAGGAAGCTTTTCCAAATCAAATTCCCTACAACTACAGGTTCTTGCCTCAAGTTCACGATATGCATTTCATTCTAAACACCGACATGCAACTCATACTTATTTATTGGTACCACTATCAGTACCTTTGCATCATCATACTTTTTACATATTTTATCCTCAATGGACAGGGTTAGAGTAGTTGCACATTTTTTAGCCTCAATGTGTCTCTCATAAAACCATTTCTGTAAAGTTTTTCTTATTTGCTCAACCATATCAAGTATTGGAAACTCCTGAGCATTCTTGAATAACAAGTTCAAAGATTTTGCATTGTTAGTTGTCATAATATTGTAACGGATTCCTTTGAAATGTGCTCGGGACCAAAATTCATACCCAACCTTCTTTTCCATGTATTGTCCAACTGCCGTACTTTTACAATATAGATTTGCCATTGATTTTTCAAAATTAATCAAACTATACTCCTTTGCAGTTGCCATAAACAATGGCAGATTATCGGTCTTATGATAATTTGACTTTATGTTTAGTTGTAGATGCCACATGCAACATTCATGATGTGCATAAAGATAAACAATCTTTATAGCATTACCAATGATATCCTTGCGATCAGAAATGAAAACAAGCCCTTCCAACATACCCGTTACCTGAAACAACTTATTGAAAAACCAAGTCCATGATGCAACGTTTTCAGAATCAACAATGCCAAATGCAAGAGGATATATCTGAAGATTTGCATCTTGACATGTGGCAACAAGTAATGTACCTTGAAATTTGGATTTCATAAATGTTCCATCCACAGAAATGACATGTCTCATTGACGAGTGAAAACCACGTATGTTTGGTCCTAAAGCCATAAAAAATTATTTGAATCGGTTCTCATTATCAACCTCAATGAATGTCACTGTACCGGGATTATTCTTCTTCAGAATATTGCAATAGTTGGTCAATCTATCATAACTAAGATTAGGTGAACCCTTAATAGCTCTATAGCACATTCTCTAGCCATCCATGCCTTATAATAATTTATATCTACGCCAAACTCCCGACGAATATCATTTTGAATGTTCGAAGTTTTGTATATAATGTTGGGATCCTCAAACTTCGACATGATGTGTTTTCTAATCATCCAACAACTAGCTTGCCTATGATCTTTGTGGCGAACATCCAATGAACAATTATGATAACGTGAATACTTTCGAATTTCAAATTCGTCACTTTCCTTCAATCGTGTTGCCTGCAAACGCCATTTGCAAATTTCCTCAACACAAACTACTATATATGTACTCTTATTTGACTTAGTGACCTTAAATTTAAAGGAGTTTCTTACATCAAGCATTTGTAGTGATACCTAAAGATCCTTCTGGTTGCGAAACATTTGGCTAACGTGCACATCATCGACGTCAGGAATCTTCATTGATGTTCCACAAGGATTCGGACAGGCAACAACCTGGGAAATGCCCATGATCTCATCTACCACTGTAAAAGGTGTATTATGAGTAACATTGTCTTCATTTATCACATGAGAATCATCTATGTAGTTGCCATGTACTACTTCTACCCCATCCCAATAATCATCACTTGTAAAGTTCACACAATTGTTTTCACAATTTTGATTACATAGAGACAACGGTCGCATGTAATTGTCATCAGATTGATCTTTTTGCATATTCAATTCATCCATATCCACCGCATTGTTAGTTGCAACAACATTTGAATTGTATTCATGATTCTCTTTAACATTTACAATATCAATATCCATGTCTTGTTGATTAGAATAACCCTTTTCTACAAGGGTTATACAAATTGGAACTTTGTCATGCAAAGAAAGAAACCAACTCACATCCATATCGCGAGTAATCTTCATTGGTGGAACTGATAATTTTGTCATGCCGGGAATGAGAAATTTCATCTCGATGTCATACATATTGGGATCAACCTTAACTGCTTTTCGGATTTCATTATACAACTCTGCATATGAGATTGTTTTTGATACAAAAATATTTGTTGTGGTGTCTTCATCATTCCCTATCCATTTCCAAATCCATCCACCTTCATCACTCTTTTCAAATTTAACAAAATAACAAATAACAATCATTGCACCAGAGTCCATATTTGCAATTCAACAAAAAAAATAATAATAATATATTACTCCATTAATTGTCAAAACTGAATACTATGAATCATAGTTTTAATAACAAACAAAAAGCCACTCATATTGTTACATAACAAATTCAAGCAGAACAAAACGACATTCCGTAGTTTAAAATGTGTATGTGCCGTTTAAATTTATTTATGATAATAAAATGCAATAAAAGAATGGAGAAACAACTAATTTTCCAATAAGTATATCAATACCACCATTGTCGTATTAAAACGGCAGCCAGCTGGGAAAAAAGGCACCCAACTACTGCGAAACGGCACCATTCCGTTTCAATATTTTACAGCAAATTTTGATTATCCAATTGATTTTTCTCATAGTATACAACTAGAAAATAACAACAAATCGATAATTTTCAATTTATAAAGCTCAACTTCAACTGTATGAAATTGATTCTTGCTAACCCACTTCCAAAATTTGCACTATTTAATTTGCTCTTGGTTCAAGAATGGGAACTTCAACATGCAATCATTCATTGTAAGCAAGAATAATGCATATGAAGAAGAATAAAGCTGAATTTGAAGGTGGGTTTAATATGGTGAAAATTGACTTGGAAACGAGATAAATGAAGGGGATTTATATTTGGGAATTTGGGTAATATTGATCTCCAAATTGCACATTTTAGTCATTTCAATTTAAGGGTATTTAAGACTTTTAATATGTAATCAAATAGACTATAGACTATTTGAACAAAAAGTATTGATATTGGTTATTTTACCAAACATTGTGGTTGACTAGGCTTCTTTAACAAATCCCCTATATTTAAATGTCCTGCACATTTCTCGGGGTTAATAATAAGTTGTCTGTATTATTGGTTTAGTGAAGACAAACAAAAATGAGTTAAAATTTTCCTCTCATAGCATTCTTTAGCTGGTCAACGATACTCTTATCATCACCATCTCCACCCATTAAACTAGCCGTCTCACTCTGGCCGGCAGAAACAATCACTTCTGTTACGACCGATCAAAGTTGAATTTTGCCGGGAGGAAAGGAAAAACATGAAAAACTGCCATGTTTTGCTTGTACCATATCCAGCACAAGGCCATGTGATTCCCCTAATGGAACTTGCACTCCATTTAGTAAAACATGGCTTAAACGTCACATTTGTCAATACCGAGTTCATTCATGAACGATTGATCAAAGCATTGCCAGAGTCGGACAATATACAAGAACTTGTACAGATGGTTACAATCCCTGATGGGTTAGAATCCTCTGACCACAGAAATGATGTCGGTAAAGTGGCAGAATCCATCTTTACTGTCATGCCGGGTGAGCTGAAGGATCTTATTGAAGGGATTAACGACTCCGAAAGTAATAAAATAAGCTGTTTAATTGCCGACGCCCACATCGGTGAGGCTTTGGAGGTTGCAGAGAAAATGGGAATCAAGAGAGCAGCTTTCTGGCCGGCCGCAGCCACAGTATTAGCCCTGATCGTAAAAATTCCGAGCCTTATTGACGACGGGATCATAAACAGTGATGGTGAGTACAGTTTAAAATATATCAGAAATCATGGGTCCATATATATATGAGCAGTTATTATGCTAACACTACTGTCAGAAATTTCTTTGCAGGAATACCAATGAAAAATCAGGTAATTCAGTTTTCTCCAGCTATGCCCGGCATAAAAACTGATGATTTGAACTGGACCTGTATTAGCGATGATCTGACAGTGAAATTCATCTTCAAAATCATGGTACAAATTTCAAAATCAGTGAAATCAGCAGATAGGATAGTGTGCAACTCATCTACTTGGTTGGAGTCTGGGACATTTGCCTCATTTCCAGACTTTATACCCATAGGCCCTCTTCTGGCAAGCAATCGGCTCGGAGAATCCGTAGGAAACTTTTGGAGAGAAGACTTAGGTTGTATTTAACTATCTCGTTTTTAAGCTCTAGTAGTTTATTTTCCTATCAAATGTCTTAACAAATGCAAAATTTTGATTAACTATTTACCATGAGACTTGATATTTGAACTTCGTGTGCTAACAACTCGACTAAATGCATCAACTCTTAAATTGGAAATGAACGTATGAATTTATCTAAATTTTGTTTTCAACAGGTTGCCTTAGATGGCTTGATCAACAACCACATAACTCTGTCATTTATGTTGCATTTGGGAGTTTCACAATATTTTATCAGAATCAGTTCCAAGAACTGGCTCTTGGACTTGAAATGACTAACCGGCCATTCTTGTGGGTTGTGCGGCAAAACTTAACTGAAGATTTGGACAATGCATATCCAACAGGTTTCAAAGAAAGAGTGCGCCATCAAGGGCAGATGGTGAGTTGGGCACCGCAACAAAAACTACTATCTCATCCTTCTATTGCCTGTTTCATCAGCCATTGTGGATGGAATTCTACCGTTGAAGGGATAAGTAACGGAATCCCTTTCCTGTGCTGGCCCTTTTTCCTCGATCAAGTTTTTAATCAGAGTTACATTTGTGATTATTTGAAGATTGGGTTAAAATTGAATAAAGATGAAAGTGGAATCATCAGACATGAAGAAATTAATAACAAGTTGGAACAAGTTTTTGGTGAAGAAGGATTTAAAGAAAGGGCTTTGGATCTTCAAACAAAGATCTTGAATGATATTAGACGAGGAGGGAGTTCTTATAAGAAATTTAATGATTTTGTAGCATGGATTAATGATTAAAATGTTGTTTATTTTGCTTCTATTGCTCACTACATGGAAACATGTTGAGTAAGGGAATTCGAGAACCAATATTTAGTCAGTCAGTGAACTTCGTTTTGCATAATTCAGATATTTAATTTATCCTTCCGTTTAAATCAAGTTTCTATTCAACTCTTTCAGCAAATATGATTTTTCATTTTAAGAGAGGAATGTAGTGATAGACAGTATGGTTGAAATATAAATGTATATTGACATAATTGTGATCCTACAAAATTCAAGGCGAACTTGATATAACATTTTGACTAATGATATTTATAGCCAATGACTTTAGTAGTTATTTTACGTGGGAGTACATTATTTGATGCATTAAATTGTTATTTGAGACAACAGAATTATATGAAATTAAATGCATTAAATACAAGTTGTCATATAGAATGATTACTACAATGGCATGGTATCCTTAACTTAAAGTTTAATAGATTTTAAAACTTTATATAAATTGAGGTGTCCCCAACTTAGATTTTTTTAAGAAATAATTAAACATTTAGTAAGTGTCCTCAATAATTACTTGATTTAGAAGATTCTCTTCAATTTGATTGATTTTAATAGATTTTAAAAGATTATAGGCCACAAATATAAATACCAAAACACGTAACAATTCTGTCACCAACCCTCACAATTTCACAACTTCTCTCGCCTTTCTCTGCAACAGATTTTTTGCCTCTCTCTAGCCTTTCTCTGACGTGGAAAAGTATATAGATATATATTTTTAATCTGTGTATATGCATGTTAAATTATCAAATGATCATGATTTTGGAAGTTTTAACAATATTTTTCTGTAGAATATTGGGTGTGATTAATTCGCTAGTGAAATTATTATTATTATCATCATCATCATCATCATCATCATTATTATTATACAGATATGAATTCTTTCATCATCGGTGAAGTCGAATCTTTATTTTTCTCTGTAGCATTATTCATTTTTTGAACAAGAATTCTTTTATATTATTAACTGCAGACAAGTAAGAATGAGTTTAGTATGGACAATTGTTAAGTACATAATAGAGTAATCAGCTATAAGTGGGGCTCATAATCTATAAGTAGACAATCAACATATGAACTGGTGTTTGAGAAGGGGTTTTGATGGACCCTTAACTGTCATTGAAGGAATCACTTGTTGCTTAAGGTTGGTGGTTAGATGCCAACATCCTTCTCTCCAATTTCAATGGACCTTTGGTCTTCAGAATGAAAAACTCATCAGTTGCAGCATAAATTCCACCCCATGTTGTGTCTTGATTTTTATCTTGGATTGTGGATATGACATTGCTGCAGAATTAAAACACTGATTATATATACACTAGTTTTTTTGTCCGTGCAGGGGGTTATGTTATTTTGAAGGTAATTTTAGCATCTTAAATGTCAAAGATTGACGACAAATACGTGTGTTGAATGAGATTAGTAAAATGAAGTTAGTTTGACGAAGTAAATTTTTTGTATAGTTTCTTTTATAAAATATAGATATAAAGTGTTTGGAGAGCATAGACGATCATTTTTGAGAAAGAAGCGATTGTAACACATTTTCTCTGCATTTTATGTGACCCAAAAATATTGAAGAGAGGTAAGTTATTAGTATTTATGATGCAAAGAAGAAGTTTAGTGGACTTCAATAGTATAACTTAGCTTTTCCTGTTGGAAGATAAAGACTTGAATTGAGAATTTCAGCAGAAACATGGTATGATTTACCATATTTGTAACACAATCAAATTTTCCAATTGAAAAAGCAATAGTTCCACCCAACCAACACCTAGAGGGGGGGTGAATAGGTGTTTATGCGGAATTAAAACAATTAATTAACTGATGCAACAAGTCACATCAATTATGCATTGCCTAGATTCATTCACATACTTTATCTACCTAAGTTGAATTACCGGTTGAAAAGTAAATAACAGAAAGCAGTAAAAACACAACAAAATGTTGACGGAGAAAACCTAACTGGGTAAAAACTCCGGGCACAAGCCAGTAAAGATCCACTATAGAAGATATTGACTTACAGTACGTCAGACATTATTGATTCTAACAATATTCTGACCTCCTTACTGTATCGACCACAACTATCCTGGATTTTGCAGATCTGCGCCAAAATCCCAGCTTTGAATATCTTCTACCTCTTGTGAATCACCAAGCACTCCAGCTCTTCAAGCAATTTCTTTCCCGGATCTTCAAACAGATGATCTTCTGGAAGTTTATATGGAGATATGAAAGAGTGTTTTGGTTTTGTGAGGGTTGATGTTTTTATTCAAAGAACCATGAGAATCAAAGATGAAAAGAATGAGTTTATTTTGGCTCTTAATCCTTTGGAAGTTGAGAGGAATTGTTGTTTTGATGTTTGCCAAAGGTTACTAATGAAAATCGGTCGTTTTGTTTATCTAGTAGGTCGAATTTGGTAATATAGAACGTTAAAAATTCGTGAGGCATTAAAATTACCAAAGGCCAGATAACACAGTCGCTCGAGCGAGGTCCTGGAGAAACTCGAGCGACGTACCTTCGCTCAGGCGATAGACCAGCGAAACTCCAGCGAGGTCAGTTCTGCAATTTTGGCTCTAGCAAGGTCAGGGCGAAACTCCAGCGACATCAACGCGCCGTTTGCATTTTCAAAGCATCCCACTTTACCCTAGACCTATGCTATGACCTTTACAAAATTGCAACTTTAGTCCCTGAACTATTTGACCTGTACAATTTAGTCCTTGACTTTACAATTTTGACAAATAGGTCCTTTGGTCACAGATTGCCAATTACACATTTTCCTAACACCAATAACTGTAGAGGTTGAAGTAAGGAATGCGACTTAATGCCACTGTATGATAATTTATCCATAAAGTGCATTTGAATGTGAGCCACCATTTCATAATCGAAAAAATAGAAAATGTAAGAATTCCATTAGAACTGGACATATTTTAATAACGATGTAAAGAACTTTTAGTCTAGTAATTCTTGAACAATATTGATACGACGAGTATATTTCTATCACATGTTGGATATAAGACCAGACTATTGCACTTTTTGGTAGGAGTGTACTAATTAGAAATAAAGGAGTGTACTAATAAAAAATATAGGAGAAATTACATTAAAACGTCATTAAGGAAGACAGAGATAGCTACAGATGATATATAGTGTGCTCGTCTCTCAGTGTGAATCAACTTATCTAAGCTATGAACATCTGGTAGAGGTTGTAGAAAATTGGTTATGGAAAGAAACAGAGAATATTGTAATTGATAGGATTATTGGTTGGATGATTTATTTCCTTATTTATCGTATTGTATTTTTCCTTTTTCATCCCATGCTTTGTAATATAAATAGGCTGTATTAGATTTGTAATATTTATAGAGAAATAAAGAAGTTTCATTCTTCATGGTATTAGAGCATAGGATGTCCTAACCTAGCAAACCGATGGCTGAATTCCCTGTCAACAACCAAGAATCAATGACCTCTAAAACTTCTCCGTCCTAAAATAGAGGATAATCCTTCGATTGGCTCCAATAATCTCGAAAATTCATCATTCCAACTCAAAGTAGAAAAACTGAACGGGAGAAATTTTCAAAAATGTGCCCAATTCATAAAATTGGTCATCGACGGAAAAGGAAATTGGGTTACCCTACCGGTGATGCAAAAAGACCGATCAATGCTCTCCGAGTCTGCAGAAGTGGAAATCTGAGAATTCAATGATGATAGCGTGGCTCGTAAATTCCATGAAGCCTTCTACAAGGAAAACTTACCTCTTCCCTCCAATGGCCAAAGACTTGTGGGATGCCGTGAAGGAAACATAATCTGATGCTGAAGACATGTTACAAATCTTCAAATTTTGTGGCAAACAAAGCAAGGACTGAGGGATGTCACTGAATACTACATGGAGATGGTATCCCTATGGCAGGAACTCGACCTTAGTTTAGAGGAAGAGTGGGAGTGTTCAAATGACAGTGCATGGTACAAGAAAAAAGTCGAGAACGAAAGAGTGTTTGAGTTTTTGGTCGGACTAAATCAAGAACTCAACAACGCCAGAGGTAAGGTCCTAGGCTAGCGACTACTAACGTCCACTCGCGAGGTGTTTGTGGAGGTTTGACTAGAAGAATCACCACGACAGGTCATGTTAAAAGACTCATTTGGGTTGAATAATGAGATGTCAGCCTTAAAAGCACAGCTTGGGCCACAAGTCCTTAAGGAAAATGGGCCAGTTAATCTTGGCCCGAAAATAGAAGTGTTAATAGGAACTGGGCTAGCATTTTTTGGGCCTGGAAATGAAATAAAAATTGGGCCAAAAAGTGAAACAAGTTTTTGACCAGCAATTAAAAATGGACAAGAGGCATTGGGCTTGTCATCTAAGGGAATAGCCAGTCGATCTTGCCAAAAACAACAGCAAGGACAGCCGTGGTGTGAACATTGTCGCAAATCAAGGCACAAAGAAGACACTTGTTAAGATATTCATAGGAAATTAGTGGACTGGAAAATAGAACACAAGGAGCCGAGAATATCAAACCGAGACAAACATTAATCCCACTCCTAGCGAGACATTTAAATCAAAATAGTTGGAAAAATTCTTTTCTAGTCTCCAGACATCTAGTCAACCTTTTTCTAAAGGCTCCTCTAGTTCTTTAGCCCACAAAGGTAACTTTTTGAAAGCTTTAAATACTTCACGACACAAAACCCTTTAGAATATTGATTTGGGTGCGTCTGATCACATGACGAACTCATATCACTTATTCTCTTCATGCTTCACATGTGCTGGAAACATTAAGGTAAAAATTGTAGATGGATCACTCTCATCTGTTGCCAAAAAAGGGAGTATTAGAATCTCTAAGTCTTTAACACTAGAATTGGTCCTTCACGTCCCAAATTTGTCGTGTAACTTGTTATCTGTTAGTCAACGTACAAAAAATTCCAATTGCTCAGCTAACTCTTCCCATCATATTGTGTCTTTCAGGACCTTTCATCGAGGAAGACGATTGGAAATGCTAAAGAGTGTGAAGGACTTTACTACTTCGAGGAAGCTGATATGAATAAGTTAGGTCAATTTTCAAGTTGTAATTCCACGTCTGTTTTTAGGGATAGTAAAATTCTGTTATGGTACTATAGAATGGGTCATCCTAATTTACAATACTTGAAGCGTGTACTTCTTTCTTTTTTCTTGAATAAAACATCAATTGAGCTTCAATGTGAAAGTTGTGAATTTACAAAACATCAGCAAACAAATTTTCCAAATTCCACATACAAATCATCTAAGCCATTTGCCATGATTCACAGTGACTTATGGGGACTTTCTCATGATCCCAATCGTACCCACAAAAAATGATTTGTCACATTCATCGACGACCACACTCAAGTATGTTGGGTCTATCTACTAAAGCACTTGAAATATAAATTGAATATTCCATTCTTAACAACTTAAGCACTTGAAATATAAATTAATATTTTATTTCAAAATGTGCGAGTATAAATATATTTACTCGACATGCAAACACTATCCGACACTAATGTCATACAGAAATTCAAGAGTAAAAGCTTTTCATTGGTAAATTTTGTACAAGTGATACTATGCTTTATTTATACACGAGAGAGCATCAAAGGAAAATATAGATTTCGTAATATCTGCTTTGCCAAAATAAGAGTAATAACGGTCACAAAGAAATTCATTTGCTAGTCCTTATTTTAGGACTAGCAAAATTCGAATTACTGTTCATATAATCTTCTCTAATGAATGCGCAAAACTCTATAAATGTTCAAGAATCTGCTCTTTAATTTCAGGCACAAGAAGGTTCCAAAAAATCAGAAAGAAAAAATTATGAAAATTGGTGGCAACAACTTTCCGAAATCAGTAATATAAAAACATAAAATTGGTTATAATATATTCATCAAAATAACTTATACCAACTAAAATCCACCAAAAAAGAAAAAAAGAAAAAAAAGGGGATTTATTTTTGAATGTAAGGCCACATTTCTTCTTTTGCCCGTGGCTTCTACTAGTACCTTGGAAGTTTTCCTCTTCATCTCTCCCCATTGATTGGTGTTTTTGAGTTTCGACCTAGAACTTCTATGGCACGTAACAACGTTTTTTAAATTGTTTGAAGGTATATCAAAATAATATAGAAACAAATAAAAAATCATAAAAATTGAGAAATAGAGTTTCTGGTAGAGTCATTTTTGGAGATTTTGGAACCTCAAAATTGGGGGTCTCTGACGATTATTGCTTATTTTTGGAGAGCTTTCAAGCGACGACCGTAGCATGATTTGGGGGCTTTGAAGACCAATGGAAATTTGATGATTAAGGATATTAAAAGGTCAACCCTATTAAGAATAATAGCCAAAGTTTTTATATTTATATTTTAGTTTATATTTTGGTATTTAATCAACGTGAAATTTATTTCTGAACATGCCAATATAAGATGATAGCTCATTTGAACAGATCAATCTTAAAATTCACATGTTCATTTTTTAGTCTTAATTGGATCAAATTGCTTATGGGAGCTTAATAGACTGATACTGTATTAAAATTTGGGATTTTATCTTAAAATGTTAATGTTATTAAGAAATAATCCAACCTCTTATATTTATTTGTTGGTTTATATTTTAGTATTTAATCGATAAATGATATATTCCTTAATAAAGGTTCCTTGTGAAATATAATTTCAAATTTGGTGATGTAGGTTTCGATTATGGTGAGTGTTAAATTATAGGCCCGTTTGGTAGAGATTTTGAGAATTGATTTTTTGACCGTTAGAAGAAAAGTGGGATCCACATGTGAGAGAAGAAGTCAAAAATTACAGCTTGAATAGTAAAATAACGGTCAAAAAATTAATTTTTTGGGGCAAAAAATTCCTACCAAACGGGCCTATTATTATTTTCCTTAAATTGAAAAGTATAATCATAAAAATTATATTTCGTTAATTATCTGACTATATATATATATATATATATTCTTTACATTTAATTATTTGCTATTGAAAGAGTCAATCCATAAAATTATACTTAAATTAAAAATTTTAAATAGGAAATGAGTTTAACTTTCTACGTTTGAAGAGTCAAACTCAACCTCCTATAATGGCCTTTTTTTTTTTTTTTTTTCAAATCTCATTATTCGACAATGAAAGAATCAATAAAAAAAATAAAAAAAGTAATTGCTTTGTCATACTTCAATTTCCCATCATTATACCATTGAAAATTCATTAAACAAAATTACCATCAACTACACTCTACAATTGATGCAATGTTCTACAAGAACATGTCAAGGGCAATTTGGAAAATTTAAGTGAAACACCCATTGAAAAGCCAAGACCAAATGCCAGACTGCAACAAGGTATTCAGGGACGAGGACCGCAAATTCCGTAAATGAGAAGAAAAAATGCTCAAATAATGGGCCAAACGTCCACTCATTTTTTATTAGTATTTTTATAGTGATACAAGATTCAATACTTCACTTCTTAAATCATTCAAGTAATATTCAAATATTTTAACTATTGACATCTAAAAATTATATATTTAAAAAAATGAGGAGAACATAATAAATGATTGTTGAAAAAAGTAAAAAAAAGAAAAGAAAAGAAAATAAGTGTCGTAAAATGTATGTTTATTAGGGTTTTACATGTGAATGACAATTGTACCCTCGCAACCCTTGAAATTATTATTGTTGAATCCCTAATTTTTCTCTATAAATATAGGGCTTTGGTTCTTAATAAAATATACACAAGTCTATTGACTTCTCTCTGTTCTCCTTTCACAACACGTTATTAGTACGATTGTCTCAAAATAAAAGTGAATTCGTTAGAAGGTAATAATCTTCTTTTGCATAATCATTTATCGCATGTACCAAAATTAATTTGGTGACATGTGAAATCTCAGAGATGGTAAGGATTAAATCGATGTCAATTAACCGGATTAGGCATGGACTTAGATTTTCTAAAAAAAAAAAGCTTTGGAAGTAACCATAATGACATTTTTTTATGAGTATTTGCACCAAACTAGAAACATATAATGTTTAGCTTTCATGTCTAGTGCAAAGTTAGTAAAACTAACTAATTTAGAAAAAAATCATATATATCTACAATTCATGCATGAATTAAGCCAAATGACCACATTTGTTGACACACCTCTCACAGCCAAGGTGTGGGTCCCGCGGCAATAAAATAATGCCGACCTCCTCATGTGAGTGTGTTGTGTCAACCGATGTGTCAACAAATATGACTATCTAGCATGATCCTGCATGCATCCACCTCATGAATTCACGAATCTTGATCCCTGCCTTTATTTACACGAATGTGTTGATTATTAATTCTATAATTATTACAATTGATATTTGTGCCTATCAATTCTATTGTAATGAACTTGTGTCCACTATCATTGCTTTGACCTTTAACATAATACTATTTAATCTTGTGACTTTAATTTTGTGGTATTAGTTTGTAGATTGAAGCAAAATCCTTAACATATTTGGTATCTTTTACGTGTTGGTGAAAGATTTAATTAATTATGTTGACTTCTATATATGAAGATTTTTTTCCTAATGCATGTTTGGTAATTTGTATTCATATTTGTATGATAATTAATATTTTTAAGCTGATTAAATAACTTTAGATGTTCTGTTATAAATTTTAGATCATTTTATTGCTTCTGAAGTAGCATAACTTTATAATTAATAATCTAGAAGAATATTAATTGTGGATATGTCTATTATAAATGATTTGTTGTTGGTCCAGAAATAGCACAACATTATAATAAATATTCTTAAAGAATATTACTTGCTTCTGAAGAATATAAATTATAATTTTCAATATTTTCAATATTCCAGAAGAATACTGATATATTACTCTTGAAGGAGTTATAATAAAATACAACGTACTCCTAAAATAACACATGTTTCAAAGAATATATTATTTTAGTGTTTATTCCTAAATGAAAACACGTAACTTATATCATGTTGATATTATTACTTAATTAACTATTATATGATGTTTAATCACATTCTTCAGAATTAATTATATTTTCTTTTATTTTATTATGTAGTTAATCAAATGACAAATATCACGAAACTCGAGTTTCCTGCATTTGATATATCTGGTAAAAATTATCTATCATGGGTACTTGATGCTGATATCTATCTTATCTCAAAAGATTTGGAAGAGATAATAAAAGAATGAAACAAATAATCACTATAAGATCGTGCAAAAGTACTCATCTTCCTTCGTCATCATTTTCACAATGGATTGAAAATTGAATATCTCACTGAAAAAGATCCACAGGTTCTTTGAAAAAAAAATAACTGAGAGACTTGATCATCAGAGGAATATAGTCCTCCCCAAAATCCACTGTGAGTGGATGCACATTCGTTTGCAAGATTTCAAAACTATTAGTGAGTACAATTCTGAACAGTTCAGAATATATTCAAAATTGACATTGTCTAAAAAAATTATCATCGATGAAGATATGTTAGAGAAATTTTTTTCCACCTTTCAAGCCTCGAATGTGCTTCTGCAGCAGCAATATCGTGAGAGTGGTTCCAACAAGTACTCAGAACTTATATATTGTCTACTTATTGCTAAACAGAATAATGAGCTGCTGATGAAAAATTATGGGTTACGTCCAACTAGTTCTGTGTCATTGCTTTACTGCATTGCCTGAAACAAATGCAATATCAAGACAAGGACGTGGACGTGGACCTGTACACAGATTTGGACATAGAAATGCAGTGGAATAAACTATGGACGAAATAATCAACAAAGTTATCAACAACAATGCAGCAATTTCAAAAGGCACAAAGCAAATGAAAAGTAGCACATCGAAAAAGGTGCACGAAGAAAGTTGCTTTAGATGTGGAATGAAAGAGTATTGTATACGTACCTGTCATACGGCAAAATATTTTGTGGATCTCTATCAAAAATCAATCAATGGAAAGGAAAAAGTGGAGACAAACTTTGCTGATTATGATGGACCAATTGATGTGACTCATATGGATGTCTCTGATTTCTTTACTGATTCAAATGGGAAAATTGACCATTTAACTGGGAATGGTACGATGAAGATATATATTAGTTTATTTTCTGTGTCTCCAGTATTTCCTTTGAATTATGTTTTTACTTTTTGCAAAAAAATTTGAACTTTTTTATTGCATCGTTAATTTCACAATATTAATTATGCTATCATTCTAAAATTTAAATTCAAAATTTTTTAATATATCTATTTTATTATATTGATATATTTATGGTGGATTATCAAGACACCTACTTGATTGATAGCGCAACTACGTATACTATTCTTCAAGATAAAAATTTTTTTTGACTTAACATTAAAAGAAAATAATGTCAATACAATATTAGGTGCATCGAATATCGCTGAAGGCTCTGGAAGAGCTTGTATTATTTTATCAAATAATACAAAATTATATAATACCGATGCACTTTATTTGTACAAATTTAGAAGAAATTTGCTTAGTTTTAAAAATATCCGTTACAATGGATATCATATTGAGACGACACAAGAAAGTAATGTCGAATATCTTTACATAACTTCTTTTGTATCTGGTCAAAAGCAAATAAAAGAAAAACTTCATGCACTCCCATCTAGCATGTATTATATATTTATAAAAATGGTTGAATCAAATAATGTCATAAACCAGAAGTTCGTTAATCCAAAAAAATTTATACTTTGGCATGATCAACTTAGATACTCAGGAGCTATAAAGATGCGTCAAATAATAAATAATTTACATGGACATTCTTTAAAGAACCAGTAGATTCTTTTACCAAATGATTATCCATGTGTAGTTTGTTCGTAAGACAAGTTAGTCATTAGACCTTCGACTATAAATGTCAATATTGAATCTACAACTTTCTCGAAAAAAATTCATGGAGATATATGTGGGTCAATACACCCACCATGTGGGTCAATTCATTATTTTATAATATTAATTGATTCTTCTACTAGATGGTTGCATGTTTGTTTACTTTCAACTTGGAATGTAGCATTTGCTAGATTACTTGCTCAAATTATAAAATTATGAGTGCAAGATTACTCAATTAAGACTATTCGCTGATGCTGGTGAATTTAGATCACAAGCATTCGATGATTATTGTATATCAATTGAGATTGTAATTGAACATTCAATTGCACATGTCCATACACAAAACGGTTTAACGGAATCATTTATTAAATGTCTACAACTTATTGTTAGAGCATTACTCATGAAAACAAAACTTCCAACTTCTGTTTTTGTACGAAAGAGAAATGAAAATAATGAAATTATAAGGTACAAAGCTCGACTAGTAGTTCAAGATTTATCACAAAGACCATGAATTGATTATGAGGAAACATATTCTTCCGTAATGAACATCATCGCTTTTAGATTCTTAATTAATTTGACTGTATCACAAAAACTTGATATGTGCCTTATGGATATAGTAACTGCATATTTGTATAGGACTTAAGGTGCTTGAGAACAAATGATACATGCCTGAGAACCATGTTCTCAATCAAATTGCAAAAAATATTATATGGATTAAAACAATTTGGACGCACGTGGTATAATCGCCTTAGCAAATATTTGTTGAATGAGGATTATAAAAATGATGATGTCTCTTCATGTGTTTTCATAAAGAAAACAAATATTAGATTTGCAATTGTGACACTTTATGTTAATAATTTATATTCAATTAGAACTCTTGAAGAGCTCAATAAAACTTCTAATCATTTAAAAAATCGAATTTGAGATGAAAGATTTGGGAGAAATCAAATTTTATCTCGGATTACAGATTGAACATTTTGCAGATGAATTATTTGTTTATCAATCTACGTATACAAAAAGAGTTTTAAAACGTTTTTATACGGATAATGCACATTCATTGGCATCACTTATGGTGGTTCGATCACTTGATGTGAAAAATGATCTATTTCGTCAACTTGAAGATTGAGAAAAGGTTCTTTGTCTTGAAATACCATATTTTAGTACAATTGGAACATTAACTTATATTGCAAATTGCACTCGACCCAATATAGATTTTTCTACAAATCTTCTTGCAAGATATAGCTTTACACTAACTCAAAGATGTTGGAATGATGTTAAACATATTTTTCGTTATCTAGAGAGTACTATTGATTTAAGATTATTTTATTATCAAAAGTCAGGATCTGTTTTAGTGGGATATGTAGATGCAGGTTATCTATCTGACCCACATAAAGGTAATTCACAAAAGGTTATCTATTTACACGTGGAGAAACAGTTATATCATGGAGATCTATGAAGAAATCCTTGACAACTACATCCTCAAATCATCATGAAATTATTGCAATTCATGAAGCAGGCCAAGAATGTGTATTTTTGAGAAACATGACCCATCATATTCAAGCATCATGCGGGGTTAACTTCAAAAAAAGATAGTCCAACAATTTTGTATGAAGACAATGCAACTTATATTGCATAACTTAGAGAAGACTATATCAAAGGTAACATGACGAAGCATATTTCTTTAAAATTCTTTCATACATGGCAAATCATATTTCTTTAAAATTCTTTCATACACATGAACTTTAAAAGAATGACAATATCGATATCCGACAAATTCGCTCAAGTGATAATGGGGCCGATTTATTCACAAAAGTATTGCCAATATCTATATTCAAGACATTAGTTCATAAGATTGGAATGCATCGACTCAAAGATTTTCAATGATCAACATCGATTAATGGGAGTAGCTGTACACTTTTTCCTTCACATAGTTTTATCCTACTGAGTTTTCCTAACAAGGTTTTAATGAGACGACATTTATTTTTAACACTCCATAATAACTGTACTATTTTTTCTTCGTTTGATTTTTTTGTCCCATTAAATTTTTTTCAAACAAGGTTTTAACGAGGTAGATATTTTTAATGTGTCATTCAAGGGGGAGTGTTGTAAAATGTAAGTTTATTATGATTTTACACGTGAATGACAATTGTATCCCTACAACCCTAGATATTATTACTATTGTATCACTAATTCTGTCTTATAAATACAGGGCTTTGATTCTTAATAAAATACAACCAAGTCTACTGATTTCTCTATGTTCTCTTCTCTTTTTACAACAATAAGGAATTTATTAGAGTGTATCAAAAATTGACTCTATATCATATACAAGATACTGTTTAAGAATAAGGAAACTCTCGTCATATAACTAATAGCTTATTTAGAAATCAAATTACACACTGAAATCAAGCTTAGAGATAAAGAGAGAAATTCAAAAGAGTATTATTCTCGGGATGAAATGAAACTTGTTTGTATATTCATTGTTACAAAATCATGATATGTGGGGGAAAAATGTCCCTCTACATTCAATTATTAAGCAAAGCAATTTGGACTTATTTGAATTGGTTAAGACAATTGAACGTGGATAAATTATATTAATTCAAGAAACATTGCTATCAATTAACATTTTAATAATATTCAAAGGCAATTATCAAGTATACTTAGAGCTTGTTTGACAATCATTATTGTAGAAAAAAGTTTTGAATAGTAAAATTTAGGAGAATGTCTAATTAAAAAGTATGAAAATGTTTTTGGTATACGTGTATAATATATCATTGTGTGAATCTGTGATTAAAAATTATTCTGTAAAAATCATAAAATAAATTAATGTGTGTCAAACAAGCACTTAGTAAAATAATTAGGCTAGAGGAGATTGCTCGAAGATTGGTTGGACTTCTTTGAATGGAGTGGATAACGGTTCTTTAGAATTAAATTACTTATATATATAATATTGTCTACTTGTTAGATAAATTTGCAACAAATAATTCTAATTTCCAAAACATGGTGAGAGATGGAGAAATCTATACATGATAAGAGGGCTAAATGTAGTTTTAAAACCCTAATTTCCATTAACAAGCAAATAAATGCCCAGAATTTTTTGGGGGGGGGGGGATGAGTCCCACTATGCCTAATTTCGATTAAGTAACAACTTCAATTAAACATGCAATAAGTTGCATTATAATAACGTATATTGAAGTAGAACGGACTGGATGTCTTATCGTTTGGCCCTCATTTTCTAAAAATGAAAATGGGTGGAATAGTATTTTTTTTGGAAAATGAGTGGTTGAAAAATAAGTAAAAATTTTCGATTTATGTGTAATATTATTTTATGAAAGATTGTGTAATTGAAAATAAGAGAGAGAAAAATAGAATGTAATATAATAGATTTTAATGGGGGCCAAACAGGGTCTCAATCTCCTGTGCTAGATATTGTTGTAATGGTAATGTATGTTCATTGTGTTTTTAATAATGGAAGATAGTAGGTGAAGAGTGAACATGAGAGGATCATGAAAGATTTATTTGTTGACTTTAATGAATTTCATTACATATAAATGTCACATCACAAATTTACTTTACTTTTCTTTTTTAAAAAAGGAGACAACACATTGCAATTTTTTATAAATGTCGCATCACAATTACTTACTCGTGAATCTACTTTATCAAAGTGTTACTATTTTACAAATACAATGTCACATCATAATTTTGTTACCATTATGAAACGATAGAGATAAGACCTGAGTTCAGCACATAAAAGCATGTGTAAGAATTTGATTTGATTTTTTTCTAAGCTCTTCTTAAGGTATGGTCTAAATAATATTTCATTAATTAAAGACTGATTGTATTT